TACGTCCTCGGAGGTTTGAGAAACAGAGAGAGCAGCGCTCAGGGAGACTGCAGCTTGCAGTCCCGAGATGCATTCTCGCCAGTCACGTCCAAGATATGATAACCTGCAGAAAGTGCACAACGAATACAACCCGGAACCATCCGTGCTTCAGTTATCCACATACAGCATTGACGAAAATTTGACTGCTAGTGCAAAAGCGGGAGGCTACCAATGTGTACGAAACTCATACTTGTTGCACTGCTGGAATGGATACGGTAGCAGCGCAGATGGCTTTTTCAATAAGCGTCGGCTCACCAGGCCTGTGCAACGGTCACATCCAGAGTTGCTGGATGATGGCCTCCCCAGTGGTATTCCAGTAAACGCTGGATCCGGTAGGCAGTAGCTGCAAGCTGGGAGCTAGGAGGGGGCTTCTCCGAGCCATGGGTTGCTGCCAAAAGAAGCAAAAGACGGGCCGGCACCTGAAGCCAAGACGAAGCACGTCGTTCCCATCTACATCAACCCAAGAGGCTAACGTGTCACGAAAGTATGTTTAAGTTAGAAGGACCTATGCGCANTGAAGAACGTTACTCATTGTATGCACAATATGAAGCGTTGCAGATTGAAAACGGATGAGCGGTGGAGAGAATGCCTACAGATGCTGCATGGGCTTCCGGGTACTGCAGGATACAGCGTTGAGCCAACAAGTGGCCAACGTCCCAAGCTTCATATCTGCATGCGCACAGAATCCGAGATGCATGAACACATGTTAGTCCTAAAAGTCTTCTAGATGAGCAGTGTGGGAATATTTTTCGGCGAAGGGTTGACGTTGTACCTTAGAGCAACGCCTATGAGCTCCACAGTGGCCTCCTCCGCATCCCATGATTCCTGTTGTCAGTGCACGAACGCACGAATTCACGAGGTTGGCCCAGTGGGACGAGACGTGCCAACGTCTCCCCTCAAAGAGACTAAGAACACGAGAAGCTGGGAAGTGGGCAATTGAATGCTTGCCTGTGCAATCAGCAAAGGATGTCCCTGGGTGGTGCTGTACATCGAAGCAACAGTGGAAGCGCTCAGTCCCTTCCTAATTTCTGTACGCGTGTGCCACAAGGGGCTACTGCACTGGAATACTACATGGCCGATTAGCCGTGACACGACTGTTTGAGCTGGAGAAGGGCTTTGGATGAGAGTTGAGCATGAAGGGTTAGCTAGTGGCAGCCTCGCTGGATCTCGAACAACAGATAGGAGTGGGAGAGAACCAGGCACTGTGACCGAGCGCGATAGCTTTGGCATCCAACTCTGCAGGCATCAACCCANGTCGCTGGCTGCCTTGGCTTTTCAGAGCCTTAATGAACAAAAATGCAGGCACACATTACTCACCCTAATGTGGGAAGGCATGAGGGGAAATGGCTTGTCCAGCATCCTCCCAAAAGTGGCCGCGCAAGCGAAGAAGCTGATGCCGCAGTGGTGCTGAAGCGACAGAACCACAGAAATCCTCAGCGTGATAAACACGTTACGTTCAGTGGAAACACTGAAAATCAGGTAACCCTTGTTGGCCCCCAAATTCTGGACGTACCTGCAGTGATATGTATAGGGCTGGTAGGTAAATTCTTTGTCTCTGCACCATCGACGCCTCAACATCAAATAGCTCAGAACACCTGATACAGAAGAGCACCGCTGCAGCATGATGCCACAACTACTGAGACTTAAACACATTCCGATGTCTGTGTAACTACAAGCCGCACACGGTAAATATTCCAAAACTGGAGGGCCCTGAGCAAAGGAACATGCTATACCTGCGGCTTAGAAAGTCTCTCCAGAATTCATGAGACTCCAAACAGGAACCGAGGGCCACGTTGAACAAGTTCAGAGCAACGAGGTCCGTCCTGAAGTACCCAGTGAGACGGGAACAACAACGGAATCCGTGGTTTGGTAGTGTGAACCTATCAGAAATTTGAGAAGCTCTCCAGGATCTAAGNTTTACCAAAAAAAGACGCGAAATTTGTGCCTTGTCAAGTCTAACAAGTAGGGCGAGTCATCCAGCAAACGAGCGGCAACGGAAAGTGGGAGCTGCAAAAACTTCTCCCTGAGCAAAGACTCCTTGCTGTACCGTACCCCTATGTCTGCAGAGGACTCAAATACAGTGCAGAGTAGATAGCATCTCACTGAAAAAAGGGGTGCGAGCTAAGCCACATGCACTCAGGCCAGCCAACCAGTTTAAGCTGAACAGGAGCTCACCTTGCCCTCTCATCAAATCTCCAAAGTAGGAGGAGTCGTCACTGCTGGCTACACTCTCTCCATCATCGTTAGTAGCTTCCTGCAGCACAGGTGCATTCGCGTTGCAGTGGCAAAACTGCTACCAGCAGGTGGACTATCTGTGTCTATAGATATAGGCTCCATCATTATGGACGAAAGAGTCCGTGTGCGCTGGACCCAGGTGGAGAGATGTACCTTAAATGAGTCTGCTTCGCGGCCTCCATTTCGCAGCAGAGAGCCTATCGACTCTGCATTAACAAAGCCAGA